AGGGGAGGGGTGAGTCAGTTTTCTCTCACCAGTTGCTGGGTTACCATGACAACAAATTAGTTAATGGCTTCAAAGAGGCCAGCAAGGGTGGCTTTTGCATAAAGGAATCAGCCTTCTCTGGCTAGCAGCTTTGCAGTGAAGAAGAAACAGATATGTTTTTGCTTTGTAACTCTTCAAGCATAAAGACTCAACATATATCTAGACACTTAAACAGATTTCTATCCACTTTAAATCCGTGATTTACATCAGGCAGGCTGAGGGGAACACTCTGTGGTTCTTCCCCTTTGAAGGCAGTTAAGAGTTAATTGCCTGCCTCTTGGCTTCTGGCGACAGAAAGGAGGGGAGGAGGGGGGTGGCTGCTTCAGTTCGAAGATCCCTTAAACAAGGTTTCTCGCAACTAAACAACATCTCCTTTCTCTTCCTTTCGAATGTGAAGTGGTGACAAAAAGGTGGGACTAGGTTGTATTCCAATCTCTCTCTTTGGCTTTGCGTAAAGACACAGCTTCAGTCTTTCACTCCATTCAAACAGGGCATAGAGAATAAACAAGAGGGGGGGAATCGCCCGTTCTGAACATTTCTCTGTTCTTTAGAGGCAGTCTTTACATGTAACGTTGACTGGCAACAGACTCAGTAGCAAACTGGTATTATTTCTTAGAACAAACATAAAGAATATTTACAGTCCTTTACTTTGCCTGCTAGCAGATGGATGGAGCACACTTCATCTCTCTTTTACTAGTTAAGTAAGGCATAGAGAAAATAGTCAGTATTTCTTCACTTTAACGAAGACACACACAGTCTTCACTTCATCCAAGCAGGATGTAGAGAAGTCTCATTATCTTTTACTTTTAGCGAAGAGAGCAGGCAGATTAAACTTTAGCAATGCAGACAGATGAAAAGGCAGTTACTGCTTGATATGGAGAATAATATTATTTTTTTACTGTTTTGGACCTGGATCAAGATGCTTTTTAATCCAAGGCCAGACAGATAACTCAAAGATGATTATAAAACAGACATTTAATTCAGGAATACTGCTGAACTCACGTTTCTTGGTAGTTTCATCTGGATATTGTACATCTGTTCATCTTTATTAGGTAAAAAATTAATAATTCCTTTATATCAACTTCTAGCGTGGAATGGGACCATGTGTGTCCTGCAGTGGTCCTATGCTTATCTCAGACAAAGGCATTCCAAACTGGCACGTAGCCAGGATATCCTGTGATGAACTTTAGTAGCTCCTCTACTGACCTGTTAACATTGGATTAACTTCACTAGCTAAACTACATTACCCATAAGCCATCTCTTAAGGAGACAGCGCTTAACCCAATAAATGCCACACATTCTAACATACAGATCTATATGCTCTAGTCAGGATTACATTGATCCAGCACAAGATATATGGATTGGGCACTACCACATGGAGGGCGAGAGTATCTTTATTCACCCCCCCCTCCAATCGTATATGGCTTTTTAACTGGTAGCACTGGGGTATTCTAAGGTGAAGAAGTTTGAGTTATGAGTCCCCATTCCAGGAAATTCATTATAATGGGCTGGAGACCTTGTCTTGCCTCCCATTTACTATTATATTGCTTTATATTAGCCACTTGTCCCCCTGTAGCTAAAGCCACTGTGATTGATGAAATGAATACTGCCTTCCCTGGCTATCCTGCTCCAAACCCAAGGTTTCACAGCATTTTCTATTTCTCCTGGGATTCGGGAAATTTCTTTTATTACTAAGACAGTTGCTCTCCATATTTCCTCTTGGGGTATCTGCATCTTTATGTTTCCTCCTTTGCATGTTATGGCTGTTTGTAATTTACTAAGGGTGTCCTGTGCCAAGAGTGGGACTGGACATTCTGGTAAATACAGGAACTGTTGAGTTAACACAGTGCACCCTACTTTACATTCTAAAGGTTGTAAAAATGGGGCTGAAATAGTTTTTTCTGAAGCTCCAACAATAGAGTAGGCATCTCATCAGCAATCTGAGGAGCAATGGTTCTGTTAAGGACAGATCTGCTTGCTCCTGTATCAATTAACATCTTATATTTAGATTCCCCCAATTTGGACTTCCACCAGAGGTTTGGGGGTTGGGAAGCAATAGCTCCTTGCCCCTGGCCTCTTCTATTTCTTCTGCTCACAGGGCTATAGCCACTGAGCATTCATTCTTCCAATGTCCTTCCTTTCTGCACATAGCATATTGGTTAGGTGCCAAGGGGACCCTTCCTCTTCCACGCCCTCTACTGCTTCAGACTCTCTGAACTCTCCCTTCTCGCCATCCTCTTCTAGACTGTAGACCCCTTCCTCCTCCCTTTTCCTGCCTAAGGGCATCTGCTAGGAAGATAGCATTTTGGCTAGTCTTTTGGATTTCTTTCTTATATTCTTCAACTAAAACTTCTTTTGTCTAGCAATACATTTATCTCTACTGTCTCCTTGCCTCCTCTTTTGAGCTCAAAAACGTGTCTACTTTTTCCAACTGCCTTCTTGCAAAACTGACTTTAAACTTTTTGTAAGTAGATTCCACTCACTGGGAGACAGGCATCACAGTTGATTTTCTAACTTGTATTGCAATGACCAGAACAGACAAGTACAAACCAAAAACAGTGCAAACTGAAACTGCAAAAGCAGATATCAGATGGCACATTTACCCCGCCTTTCTCAGGCAAGAGCTCAATGTTTTAAGCAGGAAAAAAATGATTAAAAGGAACAGGAAAACCGCACCCCTCCTCTTCCTACCTCTCTCTCCCTTCCAAGGCAGAAAGTTCTTGAGTAAAAGAAAGAAAAATAATTAGCAAAGAGGAGATAAGAAAAAAATGTTTGAAATACTACACAGAAGTCTCACCCCCTTTTTCTACTCAGCATTCTTTTAACAAAATAGTTATCTTTTTTTCTCTCCCTCTTTCACAAACATTTTCCCATGAATTTCTCTCCCATATCCTCCATGGGACCTCTCTTTTATTTTTCTCATTTCCTTGCAAATGCTTGCTATTGCCCTTCCACTTACTTCACAATTAAAAAAATCTGCAACTTATTGTTTATTTCACAGCCCCGGGGTTGGGGGGGGCGTGTCAGCACACACAGGCATTTACACATTAGCATACTCACACATTTATCCTCCATTCAAACTGCTTGCATACAAAATTCCATATACAGATATTTCCTTTCATATTTTCTCCAGTCAAACCAATCATCATTATTATTATTTCAGGGACCTTTTCACAAGCCAATAAGCTCCATTTTTTCAAATCTTTTTTTGTTTTGTTTTTAAATAAGGCCTTTTTGTTTATTGTTATTAGAGGGTCTTCCCCTCTCCCAAGTGGAAGATGGAAATGATATAGACACACTACCTCCACACTCCTCTAACAAAAATGGACTATTAATGAGTTTCACAAATAAACTCAAATATTGTATCTCTGTATCTTTTGTTTCTTCAAAATTGCCTTTAATTGCTCAATAAGTCCCATATTATGTGGTCCCAGCCAAAAGTCACATGGATTGCCCAAAGGAATTTGAAGCCAGACAGACATACAGTAATGAGAAAAGGCTGCCTTCAATCGCTTTATTTATTCCCCTAATATCTCAAAATTAGCCAAAATACAACCCACCGGTGTGTTTTGAGTAGCTTCCCTTTTGGCAACTCTGCCACCCTTCAACCGGATGCCTTTTTGCTGCCAGTTTCCCATTTCAAAGCTGGATCTCAGGCAGATACCTTTCATCCCCTGGGATGTCTCCTGTCCAGTCTTTGCCTTTGTTTGTCTTTTACTTAGGGCTGTATCTTAGGTGAATACCCTTATCCCCTGGGATGTCTCCTGTCCAGTCCTTACCTTTGTTTGCCTTTTACTTTTCCTCCACTGGTGTTCCTGCTCCTCGGTTTCTTCAGGGCTTCAGCCTTTGAATTCAATTAAGAAGTCACCCAGGATTTCACTGGGACCAAATGTTCATTTAGACAGTGTCTCGTTGCATTCACTCAATCCACTCTAAGCATTGGTGAGACATGCGGATCTCTGCACATCCCTTGCTTTTCAAGATATCCATAAGCATGGGTCCTGAGTGCAGCTAACAATGCAGAAACACACAGTCTTGGTCACCGATTGGGAAAGTTTTTTTCAGAGCAGTCACACACCTTCCAGCCACTAATCTTACCCATCTGGGGACCCTCCTCCAGTGATCATTGGTGTCTTCCAATTGAATCCAGGCGTGGAATCCTGGCACGAGCCCCCAGATTATTGTCCTCAATTCGGGTCTGAGCCTGGTGCTGGGGCCAATGAAGAACACCAGACACGAGGTGCAGGTTTTGTTTTCTTTGATTGAAGTGCTCCAAGAAAAGTGATCCTGGCCAAAATGCCAAGGAACCTCGAATCTCAGAATTAAGAAAGCTTTATTCATTTCCACTAAAGCAGAGGCCGGGATATACAAGAAATATCATGTAATAAACATTTTAGTAATGATCTAACAATTATTCTATTGGTCTCTAACTGTCCCTATTCCTAAGACTTGGTTAATGAATGCTTCAGAAGTTATCTAATACACATTCTATTTGTTCCAGGCCATCTCTATTCCTAACTTTTAGCTGACCTATACAAGATGCCTAACTCTTTGTTACTTTTATCAGCTTTCTAACTACCCAGTATTGTTACGAGCTTTACATGTGCATATTCCGTGAATAAGCATTCTTTGTTCTTGCCAGACAAACTCCACAGTTACACGCTTCCCGATCTCCTTTCAAGACTATGCCATAACCTTGCTTTGTTTTGGCATCCAGCCCATGAGCTGTATCATTTTTTTAAGAAATACATACAAAAATAAATACTATACTTCTTGTCTATGGCACCGGTTTCTTCCACATGCATTCACGGTATTGGTTTTACCTCAGACCGGTCAAAGGTTTGCGGGCGCCTCATTGGAGGCACCACCTACACTGCGCAGGTGAAGGGGCGTGTCTTTACCACCTGTTTCCCCGCCCCCGGTGGCCATAGGCAGTGTCTGGCATTCAGTTCTGTTTTTGGGAGAAACCATCGATGTAGAGAGGGGGGATTGCGTCAATGCAGGGGTCACGGGCAGCCACGGTTCATTTTTCTTCTTACTGCCGCGCCTGCTTCCTCCGCACCCCACGTTCCGTGGCCGTTCTTCTTCCGCAGCGGGGCCGTTTCTCGCCGGATCGGCTTGCTGGAGCGTTGGTCCAGTCCAACGGCTCCTGGGCAATAGAAGGGACAAGATGGAGGTGGCGGCGCGGCAGTCTATGGGGTCCCTCTGAAGGCAACTTCCCTTCCGGACGGCGGGTGATGTCGGATTCGGAGTCGGAGGAAGAATGCGGCAACAGGCAGCTCAAGTTCGTGCTGTTGGGCGATGGCGCGTCCGGAAAGGTCAGTACAGAGGGCGAGAAGGCTGAGGGGCCTCAGGGGCGTATCGAAGGCTTCCCAAACAAGGCTGGCCTCCGCGCCCGGGGGGGGGGGGCAAGTCAGGGGCAGGCTCTCCCAGGTTTCTCCCCGGGGCTGCCCGGCCTTTCCCGACTGCTCCGAGGTCCCGCGGTGATTGCAGAGAGGACACCCGCCTTCTGGTGGACGGTTGTATTTTGGCGCAGGGATTAGGCTGCATGGAAAGGGAAAAGGCTCATCTCATAAAACATCTTGGATAGACGGTTAAATTAATCTGTTTGGAAGGGATGTTCATGATGAAGTATTCCCTCTCTCCTAATGAAATTAGAGAGCCGTTTCCTTCTTAAATGCTATAGTCTAATTCCAACATATGCTCAATGAGAACTGGTCCTGTGATGTAAATGCTGTTCTAATTTATTTTGCAATAGAGTAGCTTTTTCACTGCATTGAACTAACTGTTGTTATTCTGGATTAGAAATCTATGAATAGGAGGTGTTATTTATTTGAAACGAATAAAACATTGATGGCATAACAACAATACAGCATTGTTGGCTTTATTTTTCTGGCTCTGTTTCAAGTATTTGCTGAATAGGATTTCCCTGATTTGTAAATGTGCCTTGTTTTGTCCAGCCACAGAAGGTGCTTCCAAGTAGAATGGTAGAGGTCCGTTGCCATAGTCACCAATGAAGGAGCCTTTGCTCTGCCTGATCTTAGTGGGGTTATACATTGGTTGTGAGAGAAGACCGTTTTGACCAGCATTCAAATTTGGCTTTTCTATCACCACAACAGAGAACCCTTATTATTAGATAACATAAAAGCACTTTAAACAAAGCATGGTATGGCATATTTGCATTCTTTATCACAATTACTTCAACAGTTGCCATAATCTTAATAATAAAAATCTTTGTATATCAATATGGAATATACACAAATAGATGTTATTTTCCCCTCAGTGAAATAACAAAGGTTTCTTTTCCTCCTCTTGTTGAAAATCTGGAGCGAATTTGGCCTCAAAATGGGGAGGCAGGGGTTTAAAAACTATTTGGGGAAACAAAAAGGACAGATATTGGGGGAAAGTGACCATAGTAGAGAATGGCTATCATCAAGAGAATTCATGCTCACTTGCAGAATACTCCTTTCGTTAATACTCATCGAGTACAAGCTATCTCACTGTGTCCAAGATGCTGGATGTCCAAGTAGTATAGAATTTGTTCACACTGAGATTGTGGCAGCATAATATTGCCTTAGGGAGTGCACTGGTGATAACTTAAGATTGTTTTCTCACAATCTTGCAATAAAATGAGGCTGAGTGGGAGAAGACTGTGGGAGAAGACTGAGCTTGTCACAATATAATGTCAGTAACACATGTTAAGAACTTAAGAGCAGCATTAAGATGAAATCTTAAATTCTGCCTTGGAAAGAGCAAGGCAACAGGAAAAGTGTTTCATAGTTTGGGGGCCAGCATAGAGAAGGCTACACACTAGTCTCAATGTTCTTAATGGGTTTTTGAGAAAAACTGGTAAAGGCAGAAAACATTGAAGCCCTAAACAGTGTAGAAATATGTATCAGTAGCTTAAATTGGGTCCTGAATGAAATATTCTGCAGTTTTTTTTTTTTAAAAATGGTAATCTTTGAAATAAATCTGGTTGCAGCAGTTAAAATTCTGGCAGGTGTATTCTGTAGTACCTCTGGTTTGCTGAGTTAACCAGTTACTTGGATTTGTATAACAGGTACATACACTGATTTTTGCAGCCCCTAGGCCATGGAGTTCCATATGGGTTACCACAAAAGTATTAGCACTTCATGACCATTTCTCCTGCAGTTTAATTAATTAATTAAAATTTTATGCTGCCCATGTCACTGTTACAGCAACTCTGGGTGGCTTACAGTGTAATAAAAGGTAAAGTTAATACAAAATGATTAAGATTAAAAGGATTAAATAGGAAGCGAAAAACAAGGAATATGGAGAACATAGGGATTGAGATCTTTATTCTGTCAGGCATCCTCTACATAGCAGATACAATAAAAGCGGAAAAATAGTGACCAATAGTCCTAATAGCATTATTATAATATAAACTCACTATCAAAAACATTATGATTAGATGTACTGATGTTCAGAGTTTAACCTCTAAAACAGGGGTCCTCAACCTGTGGGCCAGGGCCCACTACCTGGCCATGGCCTATTTGCAACTGGGCTGTGTGAGTGGCAGGCCGGCACACACATGTGTGCGCGCAGCCCCCGGCACGCACATGTGTGCGTGCAGCTCCACTTGCACAAGCAAGTGGAAATATATATCAGCATATCTCTACCCTGGGGTGGAGATATATATCAGCATACTCATGATATCTTCTCCCAAATTGATGGTTGACTCTCTTAAGTCTTTGTGAAAGTGTTAAACAGTAGGGGTGGAGAGAGAGAGAAGAACCCTGCAGTACTTACAGTACTGGAATGGCCTACAGATACTCCTCCCTCTGCCCCTCCCTTCCAAACCATCCATTTAGGAAGGAGTAGATCTACTGAAAAGTAAGTCTTATGTATGGTTTCTATTCCATGGCTAGATCTGAATCTGAATAAAAAGGACCCATAATCTGCCGCCTCTGGGATGTTTTGCAGTTGACGCCAGACCACAACCTTTATAACCATTTCTAAAAGGGAATTATACTTGATGAACGTGGCCAGATCTAGGGAAAGTTTCTTTCAAGGCAGGTGGCATCATTCCCTCTCCAAACTTGGCTGACCTCATGGGGCTGGATGTTCCGTAGGACGGAGTCAATGGCAGAGAAATGTCTCTTCCTGGACCCCTCCCAGTAAAAGCTGACAGGGTCTGTAACTTGCCCTTTCTGCCTGACCAGGTAGGATGGCCTTACTTACTTTTTATTGTCAGACTATTACGTTACTATTAATAATTTTTATTATTTTTTAAAAATAAAATTCCAGTTTTAAAATATATTTTGAGAATAAGGTTAAATCTTGCTGGTGCACTATTGTTTTTTATTTTGCTATGTTTAACTGCTTATTTGAAACCATCAATTTATGGGCTTTTTTTTACAAATCATACCTGCAAGTGTCCTAGTACTCATATTGTGTGTCTATTCTGCTGTGGATTGGGTTTATGTGCCTCAAAGCAGATACTGACAAGGATAGCAATAGCAATAGCATTTAGACTTATATACCAGTGCCCCTATATTTGACTCATTACAGTTTGCTTATCGGAAGAATCACTTTATAGAATTGATGCACTTTCTTGTGTCTTTATCTTAGTTTGATGCACCTGGAGAAGAATACTCATGTGCGAATGCTGTTGTCAACGCTGCTAACATTGGATGTTCTTGCTTTGACAACATATGGAGATGCAGCCTTTACTCTTAGAATTAGATGATACTGGGGGAGGGGGAGGAATGTGATGGGAGTTAGTTAGACATACAATATTGTAATAAGAGCTGATAATGCTTGGCGGGATAACGAACTGGGCGGAAAGCCAGCATTTCAAACTAATTGGAGAATGTGGTTTATGACTGTTAGTTGTAGGAGGGAATTGTGCTTTGATCTATGTGCTGAAGGGAGGGGAAGTCAGATTTTGACTTTGACTATGTATGTGCTGAAGCTATGCTGCTCGAATAAAGGTTCTTTAGAGTAAACAATGCCTCAAAGTTCTTTGAAGAGTTTCATCTTTCTGAACCATGACAGCTGTTTGTTGATTTTAGTTCAGTATTCAGCACAATCATTCCTCAGGATTTGGTAAACAAACTGGGGCTATTAGGTTTTAATACTTCTTTACATAACTGGATACTTGACTTTCTTATTGATAGGCTTCAGTTTGTGTGAGTTGGAAGGAAAGTTTCCAATTCCATCTTTTTGAGTTCCCCATAGGGCTGTATTTTCTGTCCGTTACTGTTCACCTTGATGAACCATGACTGCTGTGCTAAGTTTGCTATGAATCATATTGTGAAGTATGTGGGTGACACGGCAGTGATGGCCCTTATCTGTAATGATAACAAAGATTCTTATAGGGAGGAGGTGAAGGCTTTGGTGGACTGGTGCAATAAAAGTAACCTCATTTTGAGTGTTAATAAAACAAAGGAGATCATTATTGATTTTAGAAAGAGCCGGCATATACTCCACTTTATAACAAGGATGCAGCTGTGGAGGTGGGCAGTAGTATTAAGTACCTGGGGACGCAGATAATTAACAATCTGACTTGGTCTCTTCTTATATTATCTTTAGTGAAGTGTGCAAACCAGCATTTGCATTTCTTGCGTCGGATGAAGAGAGCACATTGGTCAGGTCCCCATAGATCCTTATTGGGACACTGCCATTCTGGTGGAGGGAGGAATCTCGGGATTTTTCTGTGATTCATCCATTTTACTTTGTTCTTCTTTTCTTTGATCCTCCTGGGAAATGGGAGGGGGAGGGAGGAGCCTGGGGCCATCTGCTTTGTCTTATCTCTGGAGAACCAAGGTCATGGCGCCTGAAAACAACTTCTTATCGCCTTCTCAGCTCGGAGTTCTCACAACATTTTCACACCTCTGGATTGGCTCCCTATGGACTGGGCAGTTGGGAAGGGTTTTGTACAATGGGGTTTAATGTAACATTTTCACACACTAACTTTAGATCCTGCCTGCTTTCTCTGCAATCACTATCTCTCAATAAAAGATCCTTTTGAAATGATGTCTGCTTCAAAAGTTTGACTTTCTTGAGGGAATAGCTGAGGCAAGACCTTACCTTAGGCAGGATCTGCAAAGTGTTCAACCTTGAGCGGCACCTACCCTACCCTGGGTACCGTGCACACAATGTCTAACCAGGGCAGCAAGCATGAAGAAGCTGAGTGTTGGGGAAGACCTCCACCAGAACTTACCCTAACACAAACTCCACTCGATGGACAGAGGAAGCTGCCACCCTGGAAGATTCCTTGAAGCTGAGATGATCAGTTGGCATAGGGAAGAAGGAGGACTAGGAAGGAAGAACCAAAGGTGTCACCCTCACCTGA